CTGAAAATTTTAATTTTTTCTAAAAAGGTGGCGTCTATTTACTTGTGACCACTCAGTGTACATTATAATAGTAGCAATAAATTTATATTTCGGAAATTTAAAATTTACTATCAGTATTAATACCACTAAAAATGCATACATGTAAAATTAATAATCCCAAAGTTTATCAATGACCTGTATCTATATCTCTTATTATAAATACATATTCTCGTGAAGTTAGGAATTCCAAATGGTCCGTACTTAGTACACCATAGGCTAAAATGCCAATTAACAAAATAACAAACTGAAGGGCAAACTAAGTCATAAAGCTAATATAAGATAAAGCCTACTCTACAAGGGTAAGCTTAAATACAAACAGTTGTTTGAAGTTAGCCTTTCCTAAAAGGTGAAAGTAAAAAAGCCTATGATAAGTTAACACTATAGTATGATACACCTCAAATGCTAATACTAAATTACTTGCCGCATTTGACGCACCAGAAATCTAACTAAATTTAAAAACTTAAACATCAGATTTAAATATTTCAATTACAATTTAACATAATCAGTACTGCAGACTATTTGGGTTCAGTATAAAACATGTATTGGCTATACCTTTATTACTACATTTATCAAATGGTTAGACTGCAGTTACAAGAACTTATGAACATAATATGAAAACATTATCAGTTTATCTAAGACACGTTTTATTTTTATTTTTTGGGGGTGGAGGTGGGAGATGAGGAGAGATAAAGTCTCAGTGCCTAGGTTTACTAAGGTGAATAGCATAACAAAATATTGACAATATTATTTATTAATACTAAACAAGCTAACACTTTTAACAAACTTCTGTACAAACAGAAATTCAGAAAATTTCAATAATATGAATACATTATTCATAAATAACATAATGCGCTTGTTGTAGAAATTTACATACAACATTTTCTACAACTCTCACCAGATACGTTTACACTATAAAATGTAACATACATTGATCAATTGTTTATACATGAATAAATGATGAAGGTAAGAAATATTTGGTAATATGCATCTACATGACATATTTTAAAACATATGTCATTTTATTTTGTATTAACCCAAATTGCAGAGAAATTGAACTGAGTTTGTTGTGGCAAAGGTAATAATCACGTTAACCAATCCTTTAGTTAGCTAATACAGTGTAGCAAAATCTCCATTTTTGCTGTTTCGTGGTTCTGATTGTTTGAACAACTGTATTACTTTAGTGTAACACAGTTTGATTAAAATAAATCAACTGGTCAAATAAGAATACTAATAAAGTCTGTAAAGAATATCATTTGTATATATTTTCCATCTTTCAGAAGTGTACATCTAAGTATGTGATAACCTGTTTCCTTTAGTTTTCTCGATCGAGCTCCAAATGGAAACCCATTTGTTTATCTTGCCCTGGCAGTGAGAGTAGCAGAAGGATTCGGATCAGCAGCAGCCAAAACATCCAGCTACTCAATAATAGCACTGCAGTTTCCTAACAGTGTGGCCAAGACATTTGTAAGGATATTCTTTTGTCTTGTATATATATATATATTGTAATTTTTTACCATACAGAATCTTAATTGAAGTATATCCACCAAATATTTATCCAATTTATTACATTTCATTAAAGTCCAATATGAGTTTTCACGAATATGAAGAAAAGGGATAGTTTCGAAAATAGTTCAAAGGAAAAAGTTTTAATTTGGTATTTTCAACCATAGTAAATATTAGGATTTGTTGAAAATAAAAAAAAAATGTATTATTGGATCCATCTAAGGTATTGCAAACTGAAGTCGCCGAACCTTTGAATTTTCAGAAATATAATCTTTTATCATTTATAGCATGAAAGAGCCAGTCAATGATATAGAATATTTACCGTATGGTGATTTTTCAGCGTTTTCTAGTGTATTACGTAGAAACGCGTAGTAATTATATTAATAGTTAAGCAGTTTTCTAGAAACAATCGTTTTGAATTTATGTAAAGCCGCTAATTATATTAGGTATGTTTTATACGTATTTTTATTGCATTTCAGTCTTTATTAGAGACGTGTATAGGAATTGGTCTTATTGCAGGACCAACGATTGGCGGAGCCCTTTACGAGGTTGGTGAAATTTAATTATTCTCGAGTAAAGTATTCACATATAATTTGTTTTTTCATTTGTTAATCTAACGTGGTATATGTACAATAACGCGTACACCATATATAAGGTTAAGACCATATCTTGACTTAAATATTCTTTGATAGGATTAGTCAGCTGCAGTTTGAATTAAGCAAATTTTATTAATGTGACATGAACATTTCTGGTATCTCGTAATAAATTTGCTTTTCATCAGTTGTTTGTTACGTGTATTATGGCATGCTAACACTTTGACTTCTCAGATTCAATGCCGAAAGCAATTATATGAAGTAAAACGAGCTCTGATGGTTTAATCTAACAGGTAATAATAGTGAGGAATTTGTTAACTATTCACATTGTCCGATACTACACATGACCCGGCATTGCCAGGTTGTTAAGGAGCTCGACTGACAATCTGCGGATCGCAGTTCGAATCCCCGTCCCACCAAACAAGCTCGCCCTTTCAGCCGTGGTAGCGTTATAATATGACGGTCAATCCCATTATTCGTTGGTAAAAGAGTAACCAAAGAGTTGGCGGTGGGTGGTGATGACTAGCTGCCTTCCTTCTAGTCTTACACTGCTAAATTAGGGACGGCTAGCGCAGATAGCCCTCGTGTAGCTTTGCGCAAAATTCAAAACAAACAAACAAAAACAAACAATCCGATACTACACTCCTCTGATGGTTTAATCTAACAGGAATTTGTTAACTATTCATATTGTCCGATATTACACTCCTCCACTTCTTATCTTGGACCTAATTAAATCAAAGTTGTGATAATAATTGTGGGCCTAATTCTAATTAGGCGCTAATTTTATCGTGAGTAAAAGGAGATGATAGATGATTTAACCCAATGGCTACTACTACGGAGATAAATTTTGTAATTAACCAAATCATCTTGGTACCTTCGTGAGAAAAACGTGGACATTTTTACCCTTTAATGCAATGCAAACATTCCAACTTATCTGAACTCAATTGTGTCATTTTTATCTAAGTATTACGTTTCGTTCTCAGGCCTATATACTGTAACAGTTCTGTTGTTATCAGCATGCACTTTGCATTTTGTGCATGCTACTATACGAGTTAGAATGTTTCCAGGATGTTTTTGAAAGATCCCTTAAAATTTCAGACTTGTATTGATTCTAGATTGGTATGATTTTTTAGGTAGGTGGTTATGAACTTCCATTCATCACAGCAGGAGCTCTCCTTCTCATAGACGGTATTCTTGTGTATTTTGTTCTTCCAGAGTTAGGTAAGCAAACGTTTCTTTTGTAAGCTACATGAAAAATTCATGATGATAAAAGAGATCATAACTAAGGTTTATGCATTAACTCATTCCAGTTAAAGTTTATAAACAATTAATCTTATATTTAGAAATTACTTCGTCTTTAGCACTATCTGTAAATCTTAAACAGGTTGAAGCTTGCTTAAATATGTTCGTATATACTGATATTAAAAATACAGTAATGCAAAAGGTTGGTATGTTAAATGTATTCGTGATTGCACAGACACTACTTTATAGTAAATTCCACGAGTCACGAGTTGCTCTCAAGATCTGAAGAACATAAATTTACGACGAACATAAATTGTTAAACAGTCAAGTATTGAACGACTGCTCTGGAAATTAAACCTGATGAATTTAGAAGCTAGATAGTCAGGCTGTTATTTTATGTCCTGATCACAAAATCTCAGAAGCATAAATGATATGTTGTTAAAGTCAAGACGTGGGCCTACCAACAAATCAGTTAATAGCTCTTGGTCAAATCCACGTGACACATAACATCTTCAAAGCGACGGCCACAATTTTAGACACCTTTTGTAATAGTTTTATAAACATTATAATTTCAGCATTAAGACAAGCTACATCCTTTTTGTTTCGTATTTCTGAAAAGATCACTTCTATTGAACGTTGCTTTTAGTAAAGGCAATTACAAGTAATCATAAAATTCCAATCTTAGCCTATTAGAAATAATACTTATAATACACAAAAATAACTGATATTAGTTATAAGACAGTATAAATCAGTTTTTATCTATTATATATTTATCACAAGCTAACAAAATTGGCTTCATGTATATATCATGTTGAAGTACTTCTTTAATGTTTCCTTTAAAAAAATCATATATATACTTATGCCTGAAACTAGTGCTATCATATTAGTTATGAAAACACGAGTGCTTATTTTTTTGAATACTCTTTATTAACTATCTGCAAATTAATATCAATATATTTCTGACAGTCTTTCAATTCCTTTTTATAATTATACGTATGGCCACTCGTACTAATTACATCATCTGTTTGTTTTATTTAATATTTCAGACAACTCCAAAATACCCAGGAAATCAGGAGATCTTTTTAAATTCTACAAAAATTTAGGAACTGGGTTGGATTTTCTTGTTGTGTTTACCACATTTAATTGCGTTGGGTTTAATCAGGCAACGTTAGAACCTCACCTTCGTCAGGTAGGAAATTAATGGGTGCGTTGCACCTTATATATCACTCACATTCCTTAGGTAAGAAACACATATTTTATTTGTGATTATCACATGTGTTCTATAAGTAGGAAGTTTAATTCTATTTTCATAATATCTTTTGTGTTTAAGTAGGAAGTGTAGTTCTATTTTCATAATACCTTTTGTGTTTAAGTAGCAAGTTGCTGCATATATTATAGATGGCATCGTATCCTTTGATTATTTATTATACGAAATAATAGGTACTTGAAACGCATATATCACCTGTTTTCTTCTGAGTGAAAATATATGCTTCAAACCTAAGCACCAACCAGTTGCAGTAAATATTATCAGTAGGCTTCTGATTGGAAGTGAGTCTTTACACCGAGATCATTACCCACGGCTTTCATGCAGAAAGAAAAATGTTTATCAGACAACTATTATGTGTGTTCTAATTAAGGAAATAAACATTACTATGTTCTTTGCTAGAGATTCTAATTAGACCATAAATACCTTTTTTTCTTCTTTAGATTAATATAAATGCACTGGTTCGTCAGTAAATACCCTCGTCTTATTTGGATAAGTAGATTGTTTGATCCATGAATACCACCTTATTTTTATGTAAATAGCTGCTTTGTCTGTATACATTGTCTTATTTTCTGATATATATTATGTAAAAGAAAAACATCTTTATTATAGATTTACGCGCTACTTAATGATTGTGCCAGAGTGTAAAATTAAACTATTTATACAAAAGTATAAATGGTATCATTTTAAAGTGAAAATTTCTGTGGCCATAACACCCACGTACATTGGATATATTCCGTCTATCAGCCACAAATAATCAAACACCAGATGTAAAACTAGAAAGCAAGCTACAGATTCAATAATGGGTTAGAATGTGGATGCTAGATCCCACTACAACTCACCATGTGAGCATGATAATTACCCTTAAAGACATAAAAATAGAAATGTGATAACATCAAACACCCTCGATTTTTTATAAAACATTATCCCCCAACCTTCACTCTTTTTTGTAGTTCTGATAAAACATGGTATTTTAAATTTTAGATATGATATCATAAAGTATAAACCCACCTCTATAGTACTTATACCCCTATGCTTCTTTATTTGGAATAAGTGTTTGATTCATAGATTTCGGTTGTGTTTTATTAGTGTAAAAACATTTTAATGTGATATTAATGTATATTTCAACATTTGGTTTGCTTCTGATTAGAATAAATTTTTTGTTCTATAAAAGTATTATTTTTTTATGAATTCAGATCGTGTTTTCTACCAAAAATTGCATGTATTATGTCCAAGTAGACTTGGATGTTTGACTTTGAATTTGAATTTAGGGACACCAGCGACCAACGATGGGGCTTATTTGAGAGCTGACTATTTAAGTATTACTTCTATAGTTATCTATGTTTTTTTTAAGTAAACTCATCTCTATTAGATGAAACATGTGTACTATATTTAACTTATATTTTCGTTTCTTCGCATATTACTTGGTAGACTGTTTGTACAAAAAAAGCATTGTGTTTGGTCCAAATGTTCCAAACTTGTACAAACTGGTTGATATTTAAGTCTAAAACTTTTCACGAAACCCAGTTCTTACGCTATAATTTGCATCTCTGAACAAAACTTAATTACCATAAAACATATATAGGTCTCCATTAACCATTTGAGAATTTTTAACAAAGATTTTTGCTTTTTTTGTCTGGCTTTTTTATAGATTACGAATTTTATAGTTAGTGATTCGTAGATATCAACTACATCTACACTGTTTTGGATAAAAAATACATAATTGTATTATTTAATTTGTTTTGGTTAAAAAAAATACTTAGTTGTTTTATCTATTTTTGTTTTGGTTAAAAAAATACTTAGTTGTATTATCTTATTCTGTTTTGCTTAAATTTCAGTTCAATCTAACTCCATTTGTTTTGGGATCAACTTTTGTAATCAGTGGCGCCATCTACTCAATAACAGCACCTATCTGGGGCTGGATTTGTGATCGTCTGGTAAGCTATACCATTTAAACCTACAATTTTTATAATTTTATATGAAATTAGAAACCACTATTACAAACGTAAAATTTCTCACAAAAGTTTTTTATTAGGGAAAGAGATAAAACATTAAATATAAATAATGAAAAATTTCGCATGCATGAAGTGGTAGGGCCTAGTGGTTAGCGTGTCACACTGTGGATCCCAAGATTCATGACTCGCATCCCTTTGCCACAAAAAAATACGCTTCGCATTTTGTGCACTGTAAGAGCAACGATGAAATTCCATTATATGGCCAGACAAAAATTATCCCAAGAGTTGGCGGTGGGTGCTATTGACTAGATATTTTCCATTTAGTCTATCAGTTCAAATTGGGAACAGCTTTACGTGGGTAGTTCGTGTTCGCAAATTCTAATAAAATAGAATATTTAATGACAGTGGTCTGAACAGTGTCTTGCTTATTGTTCCGTTAATTTTGGACTTGCGTGCTGTCACTCTTGTTAACCGTTGCAAAGCTATAATTATTCTACGTATAATGCATTATGATTATAAAAATGCATAAAAAAATTAATAAAACATTATAAAAACTGTGTGTTTTACTACGTTTAACACTTGTACAGAGTTTGCACAAGTTAATTTGGGTATGAACGTATAGGTGATGGGAAACTATACAATCTACAGCTTTATCAGTTGGTATACACATATATGAAAACACACGTGAACACATCTATCAAAGAAATGCTATAGGAGTACTGAAAGGTGATCATAAAGCTAATTTGTTAGTTTGGTGTTAATCGCAAAGCTACATAATGGCAATCTGTACTGTGTCCATTACGAATATCGAAACCCATAAGCCCGAAGACTTACTGTTTAGTCACCACAACATACAACATTCATTTTCAACATACGATAGTGTCCATGCAAAACCCATGTTCAAAATGCAATTCATCCACTTTAACAATCACCCTCCCAATGGTTCAGCGATAAGTCTGAAGGATTATAACGCTAGAAACCGAGTTTCGATACTCTAGATCAGCACACCGCAGATAGCCAATCACTCTTCAACGATAGCAGCACAAAATCCAGCATTGGTGGAGCATAAATTATTAAGAAAAATACACAAAATCCTGACACTACTTGTAGGTCAAACTATGCAGCAGTTTGATCATTCCAGAAGAAACATAATAACATATCAGCACCCTTCTAAAATGGAAGCCTTGATCCTGGATCAGTTTTAATGTTCAAGTCAACGTTAAAGGATAAGTCCTACGTACACTACACTGGCCAAAAATCTAAATACAACATATCAACACTCAGGTCGTGACTTAAGGTTCCATAAGGAAAGTCTCGTTTTGGCACTTATGTTGTGCTTATACCCAGTATTACAATATTGGGTTTTGGAACATAAATAGAATAAACAACAGTTAATAATAATGCTTCTATTCTTAACTATTCGGTAAGATCGATAAGGTATCTATGATATCCGAGTTTACAGACTATCAGCTATCTATGATATCCGAGTTTACAGACTATCAGCTATCTATGATATCCGAGTTTACAGACTATCAGCTATCTATGATATCCGAGTTTACAGACTATCAGCCACTATTTCGTTTTAATTTATTGGAAACCTTCTCAGATTTGTCGTAAAGTGAATTCCTTCTATTTGTGCACATTATTTTCAACTTTTATCATAAACTTTCTACAGGATAAGAACCGGGACTTTGCATGACCCTTTTATAACTTTTATATCATCGCCTCCTTCCTTTTCCACAAAATACCTCTGTTCAGCAAGGCAGTATGTTTTGGAATATTATCCTGCCGACATTTAAAAAATGTCTTACATTTATGTCGAAATCTAAATAATGTGTTCTAGTATAAATTATCTTTATATCTTCAGTTTCCAAATATATATAGTTGTAAAAAAATATTTATTAATTATTTGATTATTCAAGCTAATTATATCACCTATCTATGTATGACATATATATAATAATATAAGAATTCTATAATTCTATAATATAGGAATTTTCGCATAACGTTTTCATTGAAATAAAATATTGGTTTCCAAAATTAAGAGAGTAGTTAGCCCTTGTACAGCATGTTTGTTGACACTGTAAAGGAAATAAAGTGGTTATAAATATAGAAACTAACAAGACATTTTATTACACTTTTATTATTATTAATTTTAAAATTAGGTCATTCAATTGACACATTTTTAAGTAAATCGATCGATAAATTAAAACTAATTAGTACGTTTGAAAGAATCTCCGCATATAAAATCGTAAAATTAAAGTGTAGTTTGTACCGTAGTTTTATTTGTCTGTATTTTATGTGCGCTGTTTTTAGTCCGTTTATCTGAAAGGTTTATACACATATATGTATATAAAATACGCATGTGTATGTATGTATAATCGGGTTAGTTTTATAAACTATGTTTAACACATAAGACTTCTATGATTCACACAATGTTTTAGTCATGTACTAAAAAGTGCGGTAATAAAAATGTGCAGTAATGTAAAGTTGTTCATGCTTTTTATGTTTTGTAGCCATCAACTAGACCGATAACATTAATGGGATGTATATTTATGAGCATTTGTCAACTCTTTCTTGGACCAACTACTTTTATGCCAATAGACACGTAAGTAAGAAATAAGAATTATAATCAGTAAAGAAATTTTATTTTCGTACAACTTCAAATTTTAACTTTCATTCAATCCTTCTAAACTGGTTTAAGCTCGAGGTAACTTTTCATACGTGCATTGATCCAAAAGTTCAAATGTTTAAAAAATTCAGAAATTTTACATTAATGTTTTAGTATGATATTTCAGTTCAGATAAATCATTTATTAGCTTGAATCGTCCAAATTTTTGAAAACAGATCAATACAGCGAGAAAGTTGGACCTTTATTTTTACTAAGAATGTTAAAACAATGAATAAATTAATACATTAATATATTTATATTATATGTTTTCATTCGTTTTTGTTGTTATTTCCTGTAGACAACTGTGGCTAGTGATTGTCTCTCTTGGTATCTTTGGACTGGCAATTGGTTGTAAACTAGTTCCTACGTTTATTGGTGCTTTACAAAATACAATGTAAGTAGGCCTATTAATATATGTGTGTGTTTGTTTGAAAAACAGTCTTACTATGTTATTGTTTCTTGGCATCTGTCCAAAATAACATTTGTTAGCACAAAGCTATTTTTTACTAAATCCATTTGAGTAACAAATTTGAAGAAATTGTCACTAAAACAAGTGTAAAATCCTATTTCGTTCGTAGTCTCGTCTCATTTAAGTTGGTTAGTATACATCTATTTCGTTGCTTTTCTTTAAGGAAGTTGCATTTCCTAAGAATGATTCAAAAAAGGTTTGAAACATATATCCAACTTAGGTAACATATTTGCCACTTTAGGTAATCTGATCTATGGTCATGTTTCTACATTACATTTGGAATGTGTGCGTTTTTATATATTTCTCATTATAATAAGACATTTTTTCTATAAATAATCTCTTTCTTATTATACTCGAAGATTTGATTTTCTCAACCTATACTCTTTTTCTACAATAAATTATGTTGTTTCTGTTTAAAATGTTTTTTATTCACTCTCTAAAAACATGTCACTATTTTTATTGAATATTTTTTGCTCAGTTCAATTAACTTTTACATATCTACTATTAATTCAATCACGTTTACCGCATCAGTTCTTCCTAGGTATGTTTAATCTTATTCTAGCAATTCAATGCAAAAACTCGTTGTCAGTTCAATTTGATCACAGGAACTTGAACTTACCATCAAATGTTATTTGAATCAAACTAATCCGAAATAAATACAAAATGTAACTTTTGTTTTTTTAATACATCAATCACAAAAATTTGTTTGGATATTACCGAAAAGTTCTTTGTAAACACGTGCCTGTGTCTAGACCGAGTTATCATACTCGACAAGAGAAATCACCCAACAACTTTCAAATAAAATCCGTAGATCCCAACCTCTTATGAGAGGCTTAATATACGTTTAATTTGAGTTATTTCCCATCCGAATATTCTTGCTTGGGCAAGAAAAATTGTCTGTCAGCCTGGAATGTGAGAGTCCGATTTCGTCTATTATCGTCGTATGGTGTTACTTGTTTAAAAACGAGAAAAATTAAACCTACACGTCCAGCTTGTAAAGTTAACTGATAATTCCAATGTTTGCTACATTTTTCAACATTATTGGTCTTGTCTAGTACTTTTGCATAATTGTTTATATGCTTTATATGCATTTTATATCATTACTGAAATACGTTAAAACAATAGTAAAATATGAACAATCACATTACACATTAAAATATTACTTCTGTCTTCATTGTCTTCATACACATTTTATATCAAATTTATAAACGGAAAATATCTAACACAATTCCTTGACATTTTGTTTGTTTTTATGCTCAAATAGCTAATATGAGTAATAACAATTTTCATATATCTCGACGTTCATTTAGTGCATTTTCGAAGACCTCTTTTATACTTTTATATCATGTCAGCATAAAATAAGGATATGAATGCGTTACTGTAAAAGGTTCCGAAAACATTTTCTACATAGTAGTATAAAGATATGGTATGTCACGTCTTCTGAATACTTTATTAAGAAAAACCTTAAATCCACTTTTTTCTAGCTCGTAATACTGGTAAGATATGTTTTGTTTATTATCAGAGAACGTGGCTTCCCCAACGATCTGACGACTTACGGACTGGTATCGTCAATGTTTACTTCTGCTATGGCTCTTGGGTACGTGATGTGTAGCCGTAATCAAGTTAAGCATTTATGTTATTTTATGCTAATAGACTATTTTCATATTACAAAAAATCATATCTATAATAGTTAAATGTTTTGAAAATAATTTATAAGTCTTTCTTAGTACAAGGGCCTAAGGATCCAATTCGAGACATAACTTTCAGCTATGGATGCGTTATAAAAGTGGCAGTTTATCCAACTTTATGGTTTTACGAGTAATCGTATCATGAGGAGGGAACTGCCGACTGGTTGTCTGTCCTCTCGTAAGCAGTTAAATATTAGTGACGCATATGCCTGGACCTTACGTGTTACAAACCTTGCCGTTTAGCCTATTGTATGCATTAATGTGTCATTTAGGTGAACAAAGAATCTTTAATACAGGCTTACAGTATATCGTGTAAGGTCAATTATTTTAAATTATGTCTTACACTATATTTTGCTTTGCAGAGTGTGCCTGGCTTGGACGTTACTCGCACTTTCTTTCTTCAGATTTTGGTAGTATAGTTACGATCTTTGTTACCATCCTACAAAAATTAAACATTTCTAAACCTTTCCGGGCATCATTTATACGCTATATCGTTAAATGAACCTAATTGCTTTAGAGAAACGTCTCACATCTAAACAAAATTTTTTGTTTTACAATTTTATGTGGGATACATTTAACGGGAAGTATATTGTGTAGCTTTGTGCTTAACTTCGAACAAGCAAACAAAAAATCTTCAGAATTACCTTTGGTATATAGCTTTTGTTAGCATAATCTGTTTTTCGTGATTATTTTACGGATAAATTGCAGTTAAATTGCGTATCGTGCATTTTTTTTCTTTAAGTCCATATTGAGTCCGTTAAAACTAAAATGTTTAAAGTATTTTCGGTCTTATTCATATCTGATTCATCACACTTGATATCTTATTTCCATTTATTTTCAGACCCAAGAACTCCCTTTAAGTTTAATGGTGTACCTGTTTCTTTAATACAAGTAAAAGACTTGTCACAAATGTTTTGGCACACGAGGCATTTCGTATTTTGTATTTTCAACCTGGTAACCCAAGAGTTGGCGCCCAGTTGTGTTGACTAACTACCTTCCCTCTCGTATATCATTCCTATTTCCGGGACGGCTAGCTCAGTTAGCCTTCGAGTAGATTTGCACAAAATTCAACAAGTAAATTTTCAAACTTATGTCGCTCATGGGCTAAACGGGCTTATCAAAAACCTCGAGTTCAGGCATAGCCTTCCATAACTTTGAACGGATTGATGTTGCTTTTATAACACGCCCACAGATAAATGTGTGGGGCGATTTCAAAGGAACACTGAGAAATCGAACCTTGGACCTTCCGATTCAAAGCCATGGGGCGCTAATAACTAAGTACGCCCTACTCAATAATACAAAACAGAAATACAAAAGCCCTGATGGACAAAACGTACAGTGAAAAGAGAAAAAAGAAGTAAAATGTTGGACAATGCATATACGAAAATAGAAATATCAGTACTTAATTGAAATCCTAACATGACCCACACAATAATCAATGTGTTCAATCATATGGTGCTTTCCTCGGCACTCATTTGAAACCATATATTATTGATATATCAAAATACAAAAACAACTCTTATTATTTTATTTGTGAAAAAATGGGGATGTGGGAAACCCAAACTTGTGATCAGTATTGTAAGTAGTTATGAAATGGTAAGGAAAAAGGATATTAAAGACAAAGATTTCGGAAAGGCCAACACCTTACTGTTTGAAAGTGAACTACACCTGATTACAGCGAGTCACATGTTGATTAGTTTACATTGCGATATTCCGGTCATGTTTTCTCGAACTAACTGTACCGCATGACGATCGTATTGCTGATCAATGATAATCCATGCGTACAATTCAGCGTCAAGTGTTCCATGTAAAACTAGCACTGATGATAGCAAAAATGATCGAAGTAGAAGAATAAAAAAATATGCCAGGTATCTTAGTGTATATTCTTTACCAAATAAAATGTTCGAGTACAAATCTTGCCAATGACCTTGCTATGAATACAGTTCTGAACGTTACCCCGAGAACAATAAGATGCACATTTGCACAAAGTGGTTTCAAATGAAGTATAGCTGCTCATAAATAACTACCAAGAAGAGTTAATCAAACCAAAAGATTGAAATGGGCATCAGAAAACAAAGTCCTAATATGAAAATTCGTGAGGCTGTATGAGTTGATTTAACAACTGAGAAGGCCAAACAAATTGGCTGAATTGTAGAAAGTAATAAGTGCTATAAAAATAAGGCGCAAAAACAATAAATTTTGTTGATTAGTTGCCTTCCTTGTATTCAATCACTTAAATTAGGGACAGTTAACATATTTAGCTCTTGAAGAGTTTTGCGCGAAATTTAACAAACAAAATTAAAAATAGTGTTTTAATTCATGCCCCACACGTGACTTAGTTTAATGTATTAAGGATGAAGTAGCCTATGTATTTACATAGTAATACAACACCTTTGGAAGAATATTCCAGAGTCATACTTTGATAAATTATTGTATTGCGGCATCAAAAAAATACATAATACTCTGGGTCAAAAAGATAAATTAATACTGTTCAGAATATTAAAAGAGTCCCAACCTACATATATACATATAAGTAAAAATAAAAATGCCAAAACTGTGTCTTTCAACAAAAACTTACATTTACGTTATTAAACTGCCTATTATGGATTCTTTTATCCACGGGAAACTATAAATAACTTCTGAATATAAGCAACTTGAACAGTGCATTCAAAAAATCAAGATAAGCTTAGTGTATTTTTAGAGTTACCTGTAGTAGATAGTGTGATATACATCATACGTTAACAAAATTGATTTCATAAAATGATTCGAAAAATTAAATATAATTTGATTGTAATAATGATAATTCAAATACTAAGCAGTCAGTAGATATTAGACTTAAAGTAAGATGAATGCACTGATTTATCGTTTGTGCACCCTCATTACTAATATTTTTTAGGTCATAATAAAATTCATTTCCAAACATTCAATGACTGAAGAACATGAAATTAATTGAATTATTCTTCAGATATTCTTAAACTTGTGCATTTTTCTATTGTAAAAATTGCCAATTTCATTTGTAATTTTATTGGTTAATAAATCTCTGAATCGTTTCTTAATAGAGCTTTTGTAGGACCCACTGTTGGTGGCTATCTTCTTGACATCATCGGTTTTCGAAAAGGAACAGAAATACTGTTTGGAATTGAGATAGGATTGGTAAATTACCTTCATTTGTAGCCACTTATTATCATTATTATCAATGTTGGTTTAATGTTTCTATTTATGACTTTATATAAGCTAGCAAGAACAAATTCATCTCATATGTCATTCGTATATTAATCCGTTTGTTTCATAATAATGCAAAGGAGAGTATTTTTTGTAGCCAATACTAAGCTAACATTTCTATCGTATTACTTTTCGTGCGATTAATGGTTCTGAGTTCAGTATTTTATCTTCATTAGTAATTATTATATAATAGTGGTCAGCGTGGTTTTGCACTTTGGACTCGTTGTGAATTTGAGACAGTCCAGCGTCATTCTGTTGTGTCCTTGAGTAGACACTTTATTCCAAATGTTCCAGCTTATTCAGCTGTATGATGGGTACCAGCTGTTAGCTGTGGGTTAGCGATCGACTGCTATCCCATCTAGGAGGAATGGATCACCATTCTCATCCAAACACGTGCCTCGCAAAGGCAAGACAGAGAGTTAACAAGTGCATAAAATGAGTGAATACTGCTGTAAAGCATTTTTCAATTTGTTTTTTACTTTTACAGCAAATATTTCAAGTTATAAAAGCTCAATCTGAATTAACTGGTCAAACGCTTTGGTAGTTTCAACATTATACTGTAGAATTGTTTCTTATTCGTTTATAACAATTTAACAAGTATATCATACATATTCTTCTAGTTATTATGAAATGTTTTTCTACTTTCATAAAATCGTAATTAAATTGTAATTAGCTTCATTTCTTGTTAGGCAAGCGGGTTAAAAGGGGTAAATGGATAAAGATGGGTTTATAATATAAGTCAGAACAGTTTCTGCGATTAGTTTATATGGATTAAACTGTATTTTCTACTTTTGGTTAGTTTGTCCTTGTTGCCGTATACTTTGTTTCATTTCGACTTAAACTTGGTGAAACTCGACCGAGGGAACCACTGATGGATTCACTGACTACTGCGATTATTTCTGAAGGAGTGAGGACAAAATCTATCTCAGTATAAAATGAATGTATTTTAGACTAGACGGAAATTACCCTCGTTATTAACTATATGTCTCGAGAGTTTTTCACAAGCAGAGATCTGTTAGACGATTTATTTCTGTAAGTAAGAATGTAAATACAATTTTAATTTACAGAAAATTGTTTTATGTGCTTGTAAAGATATATCTTTCCTCGTTTAATGTACAAACGCAGTTAATATATATTTAAACTGAGAATAATGATTTCAATTACACTGATATGCCATATAAATTATGAGCAAGTTATATATATATATATATATATTAGTCATAGATAACACTGAAGATTTTTACTTTATAAGAATTTCAAGCATTCTAAGTGAATAATAAAATTTTATTTTCACAAGTGGTATCGAAAAGAGTTTAATGTACTTTTTGTTCGTAGCTTTTAAATAAATTATATTCAGAAAAGAGAAAGATTAATCGGTATTTCTCACATTAAAAAATACTTATTTTTCTATTGTCCCCTGAACAAACATCAACACTTATTAATTAAAGAAGTTCTAAAGATATAGTTTATTATATTCAATATAATTTTTACTCATTCACTACAATCCACTGACAAAATATTAAAAATAGAATTTACTATCCACTTATAAATTTGGAAAACTGTAATATTTCTGGCTATGAACACAAACGTGATATACAACACAAGTACATTCGAGAGCTACTCAGCATCAAACGACGTATTTGGAACATTCAAATATTTATTAATTTCAATAAATATTAATAACATATTTTGTTGAATTTAAAAACATTTATTTTAAATCCGTAAAATTCATATAATTGTTTTTATAAGTTTATTGTGTATTTATTATGCTTTTGTCTCAATTTGAAATATTTTTCATTGACGTCCATTTACAAAGGTTTTCTGTCACGGCTAATTATGTTATTAAGACATATACTTTCATCCTAAAAGTATAATGTTATCTGTTACACTAACAGTTGTTAAGACATTGAACCGAAATTGTTTTGATATTTTGTTATATGAATATCTCTGCGACTGTTCTCCAGAAAATACCATATTTTCGAGCTGTAATCGATTTCCATCCTACAGTTTTGTAGGAAAATAAAAAAGTAAGTGAAATTTGTGTAACTCTCGTATTTTACAACTATAAACATGATGTTTACACTGTTGACACATAATTCCATTTTCGAAGGTTTAACGTAACCGTTTTATCTAACGTCAAACAATTTTCATACTCACATGAAGTTTTAAATGTGTTTAGTACTTTTGAGCTTTTACAATACTCAGTGAAACATCCACGCCCTACCTACAATCACAGTACAATTGAAATCCCCATTTGTGTTGCTGAACTGATAAATACCAAGTTGGCAAACGCACGGAACTATCACTATGTTTAAGTCTTGATGGTAGTAGTTATCCTCGGAATGAAGTTCACATTAGAGAAACAAGTAAACACTAGGATAAAGGTATGCCTAGTTTAAGTAAAGTAAAACGGTTCTCTTCAGAATAACATCTACTTCTCCAGAGTATTAATGTAAACCTCTTGAGATGCAGTAAAGCGGCTAAACACATAATGTCCGATGGTCAGTTACATTAAAAACAATCTGTTATTGCACAGTGAATATTCTAATTACTAGTAAAGCTTTTAGTTCCTTTATCAGAAGACTTACAGTTTCACTAGAAAGATTAGTGCAACGGCAAAAATAACATAAGTAATAATAATATTTTGTTAGGATTTTTTTTTGTTGACCATCAACTACGCGAAGTAGAAGTTTATAATTCTTTATTTGTACTTTATTAAAAAGTAAAGTTGGACAAAATATTACAACTAACATACAAAATCTCTGAGAAACTGAAACAACTTGGAACTTACCAAATGAACCCAAGTTGTCGACAACAACAAAGTGACTTTGAAAACTAACCACGGATTTTAACCACTTTATCTGGTTACAGCCATTAAATCTTTTAACTATGGGCTAAACCCGTAGCGCATGAGCACAAGAAAGTGTTTGGTATTTTTAACCTAGACAACATCTTATACGACCTCAAAATCAAAACGTAGCAATCCCTAATTTAGAACTGCTGGATCAAGAGAGTGGGAAACCAGTCAGCAGTACATATCACCTACAAAACTACTTTTAACCGAATATCTTCATTGACTGTTTCTTTCATTACAGTTGAATGTTCAGCACAGTTTTGTTCAGTGACATAGTGGGGGTAGTTCGAACTTTGGACTTGTACTAACCTAAGGCCACGCCCAAAACCAAGAGAAACTAAATGAAGAATATTTTAATTTGATTATTAAATAGAGAATCTACACAATTCCCGCCCTGCTGGTTTACATCATCCTTTGATTTGCTGTAATATCAATAGTTACATTGGCATAAAAGTCTTGGTAGATTATTTAGTTTGGGGCGTATTATTAAGCAAACAGTTTCTGTGGCCTGATAAAGTGTTATTCTCCCGTTTTATTTGTTTGTTTTTTCTTAGACCATTATTTCAATCTGTATTTTACATCATGAAATTCATAATGTTGATTATTAAGATAAGATTATTAGATTCCCAATATAATTAAAATATAATTCGACTTACACTTTTCTGTAAGTTCTTCATTTATAAAATTCTAAAGTGTTATAAAATTTTAGATAAACTGTTTAATAAGCGTGTGTAAAAAAAAGATCAAAATATATTGCGAAAATGTCTGTGCAAGCATAATATTGATCCAAAGTGTATGTGGACGATATTATCGATCATGCACACGCCATAACCATAGTGGACACGAGCTTTTTCAATACGAGAATGCAGCAATCTCATCTCGCTTGTATTGTTTGAATTTAATTCGAAGAGCACGACAGTAACTGCAGTCATCTTTCTGGGACAGCATAATCAGAGGATTTCAATCCAATTTAGCATTGCTTTATGAACTTAAATACCACGTTCGCCACTGTCTTCCTCTGTGATCTTATTGCAGAACGTATGGGCTCCTTCTGAACACTTCCGGTATCTTATAGAGCATACATCAGAAATCAGGCTTTTATTGCAGCAAAAAGTGACCACACTAAAGTTGGAGCCAGTAGGCCAGTCAATGTATATATATTTCAGTTTATTAGAAAATTATTCTTAAATAACTATCAAAGTCAGCTTCGAATAAAACTTTTATTTCAACTAAGAAATAAAAAAACAAAAAATGAACTATAAGTATGATATAAACTTACCTTAAATTGAAATTTAACAGATTACGATAATGTGTGTGTGTGATGTAGGGAACGAAAAAAACACCTTTCTCCTTAGTTTCTACACTATATTTCGTCTTATTCTGGTTGTTAGCTTTGCCTCTTTATTCCAAAATGGTGCTAATTCTTAGTATGCAAGTTTGCCTCAGCGAAGCAATTCACTCTGCCATTTTACCAGTGTTGCTCTTACCTAAACATTTAACCTCATCAGCAGCTAGTGAAGAAAAACTTCTTACTAAATTTTACTTCAAAGAAGACTAATAGAGAAAAGAATTTTACCTCATAACTCCAAACTGAATGCTAGTGCCTGAAACAATTCGTCCCAACCAAAGCTATAATATAACTAGCTTGCCAAATCTCTTAACTAATAATAAATTTTTAAATCAGAGTTCACGATTATGTATATTTTGAAATAAAACAGTACACAGTATAGACAGCAAGCTAGAATTGCAGATGCTGTTCATATATACAATACAATGACAAGGATCGTCTGTGGTAAACGTAATATTCCCCTTCGCGTACATTAAACAAAATCGGGTTACTTAGTAACATCTGCTTCACAATATTAAGTAGTGACTCAAACACATATGCCTCACAACCATCTGTCACCTTCGTGTAAGCGAATTGCAAATGCAGTAACAAACATCAGTGAAGTTTTGAACTTTAGTGCAAGTACTTGATCACTGTGCCAATCACATCTTATTGAAAGTAGTTGTTTTTTATAGTATATTCAGGTAAAGAGCTGAGATAGGATCGAAGCGTACTTAAATTATCACGATAGAAAACATAAACGCTCATGTGTGTTTGTTTGTGTCTGTGACGGTTAAATAGAACCTATGGATCTGGACCATGTCGTATGATAGCTTAAACAGTATTAAAGTGCACACATACACATATATTAAGTTAAGTGCACAACAAAGATTAAACATAAAAGCATAAAACCATGAAACTTCTTATCTTCACTTAGAAACTCATCTAGAAACATATAAACGTTATAGATATTTTACTACTTCTGAAACAGTTAATACTGCCCATATGTAATGCTGTTATGAGAAACCTAAGAAATCACAAGCGAATATGTTGTATTAACTTAGAAATTTATAATCACTACATGTATTATATTTTTCTCCAAACACAGAATCATTGTAGTTGTTGTATTCACCTATAATCATTAACTTACTACATTTACTCTATTCATCTACAATTACAAATATAGAAATACAGATGTTAGATTAACCTGAATACTCCCATGTAAATATACATACATGTGTGTGTTTATAGGAGTGGTCTTCGTTTACTAAGCTTTATCACCATTTGCCCCCCCCCCCCCAGTGGCACAGCAGTATGTCTGCGGACTTACAACGCTAGAATCCGGGTATCGATACCCTTGTGAGCAGAGCACAGATAGCCCCTTGTGTAGCTTTTGCTTAATTACAAACAAACAATTATCACCATTTCTTGTTAGGAAATGAAACAAGTTGTATCATAATGTACAGAAGCGCTAATCGATTAGTCTTTTTGCTCAGTTCTTACGTTTGTGTTTGATACATTTAAAACAATTCAATCTATCTTGCATTCAATCCATTCTAATTCTCAGCTCTTTCAGCAACAATAGGACTTAATACTACTGTAAATTATTTGTATTTTAACTTTGGTTAAAATTAAGTAAATACTACTCAGAACACTTAATCGATCTATTTTTTTGCATTCATAATACCTAAAACAGAGATTTCAGCAATGTATGCAAATTATATCAAAATAATTGTAGTTTTGTAAATATTAACTTTAATAAGCAAATTACAAGAAAATCAAAATTTTGAACTTTATTATCAGATACATTTTTGCACAAAAGCACCTCAAAAATAATTTTTATCACGTTGTATTATTGAATGCATTGATTTCTAACTCCTATGATTTAAAGTTTGAACTTTTCTCTCGTTCGTCATTAATTTTGCAAATGTTTATTTCAGAATCAGTTTGTGTGCAACGTAGTATAAATAAAATCCACAAAAGGCTAAATGGTAGCTAATGTCAGCTCATACTGTAATTGGTTAATTTTGGAGAAAAGCACACCTTCTGCTAAAGGTCACACCGCGTCTTTACAGTCTCTTGATTTGTTGTATTATATGAGTTTCTAGTTTACGAAGTTTATGTAACTTATTCTGTTAGCGAGCGTACACCTTTAAAATGTATCGTTTACTTTCTCAAATAAATCTCATTTTACGCAAGCCGCTAAAAGTTAGCAAACATTTAACTGCAAATAAAGTATAGGCTTTAAATTTATTAAATAATCCAAGCTTCGCGAACATTCACTAATATGTATTCCTATTGTATGGGGCACAGTGACGTAAGAATATTTGTCACGAGATATATTTTGTTTGTTTGTTTGTAATTAAGCACAAAGCTACACAATGGGCTATCTGTGCTCTGCCCACCACGGGTATCGAAACCCGGATTCTAGCGTTCTAAATCCGCAGACATAAGATGGATGTGATGGACATAGTGTGGTTGAAATACTATTATACATTTAAAAACGTGGGAAGACTATGTGCAGAAAATACTTGCGGGTTGATTTGTACAGAGATTCTAAAACAAACATAAAATCATGATTTAAAATTAAATAAATTAAGGTAAGTACAAAAAATACCACAAGAATGTTTTTTTCTAAAAATCTTAAAAACTTTTTTTTGGGGGGGTATATAATACGAAAAATAAATTTTGCTACATATTTTCAAATATTGAATTACTTGTTAGGGAAATAATTGTGTTTAATTACAATATTTGTTGTTTATTATATGTTACCTACTTGCCCCCTAGTGGCACAGCAGCCCGACGACGCGTTTCATTCAATGCAACACTAGCGGAAAAGGTATGTGATTA